GGCCCACCTCCAGGGAGAAAGAGAAGAAGTTTCCAGAATCCTCATGAGAAGGCCACGCCCACAAGGAGGCATCATCAGGCAGTGACCTGATTGACAGAGTAGAGCCCACCCCTATACTTATTGATCAAGTTGACATGAAGTTATGTAAGGTCAGCAGTTTGAAACCACCATCCGCTCTGTGGGAGAAAGATGAAGCTTTCTCCTCCCATAAAGATTTGCAGTCTTAGAAACCCACAGAGGGAGTTCTACTCTGTCCTGTAGGGTTCTGTCAGGCAGAATGGATTTGATGGTAGCGTGTTCTGTTCACTACTGTTGATGAATATGCGGATTGATTCCAGTTTGGGTATTGTGAATATTGGTGCATCTGCCCGTTGAGACACATGCTCTCGTTTGTTTTGCATAATATAACTTGAGTAGGATTCCTGGGTTCTAGAGTTTGCATATGGTCAATTTTTGAAGATATGCCAAAGTGATTGAATTAATGTAAACTCTTCCATAAGTTTATAAAAATTCTACTTGCTTTGCATTAAGACTAGGGTTTGATATCGACAGTTAAAGTATTAATGGCCCCTGTGATGTAGTGGGTTATACATTGAACGCTAACTGCAGGTCAGGAGTTCGAAACCACCAGCTGTTCCATGGGAAAAAGATGAGACTTTCTATTGCTGTAAAGATTTCCTCTCTGACACCCACGGGAGTAGTTGTACCCTGTCCTGTAGGGTTGTAGTCTACTTGATGGTCATGGGTGAGAGTTAATGGCTAATAAGAGGAATACCTTCTCGTGTTTACTGACCATTGCGATGCTTTATTTATTTCAATCGCATGATCCAGAGGACTGTTTTGATGCTTATCTATAAGATCTTAAGCTTCATTGGCTAACTCAAAAACAAACAAAACCTCATTGCCACCATCGAATTCATGCCGATTCATACCAACCTTGTAGGACAGGGTGAACCCCCCTTGTGGATTTCTGAGACTGTAACTTTACAGGCGTCAAAAGCCTCATCTCTCCCCTACAGAGCAGCTGGTGGTTTTGAACTGCTGACTGTGCAATTGCAGCCCGGCTCCTAACCACTACACCACCAGGACTCCTCATTTGATAAGGCTTAATTATGTAATAGGATTTGAGATGGATGGAAACTAATCAAATCATCATAGTTGGGGGGCGACTGAAGAGAATGATACATTGGGATGCACCAGTCAGCAGATCAGGGCGGAGACTGGACAGACTTTTCTTTGAAGTGTCGGTGTCATGGACTGAGTCCTCTTTGGACACAGAGTTGGGGAATAGGGAAAAATACTTTGGCTTTTTAAATGTCTTATTGAGGCCTACCTGTTAAAATC